GGGAATTAAACAAGGTCTTAATTCAAAAATTAGGTCAATTTCAAAGAGTAAAAAATTGCATTAGTTACGGTTGGAATGTCGTCAGAAGATTCAAAAATGATAAATGGATTTCTTTTGGCTGGTCAGGATGGACTGCAAAACCTTCTTGAAAGCATTAAGGATAAGGATCCAGATAAAGTTTCCATTGGTCTTGCATCTACACTAGATACTGTTGCGCAGTTGGAAATGCTACAGGTATTGATGATTGCCTTCAGAATTGGACTGATCATCAAGTAATCTTCAGGACATATTTTGTACATGATGGATTAACTGCCACAATTTTGAACAATGGAAATTTAATGAGAAAGAATTGAGAAAATGTAACAATTCTGTATATAAATCCTTCCTGCATTTCACATTTTTGTGGATTAACGAGTTACATGTTCATAATTGGATCAGTGACGTGTCAAGGATGTATTTTTCAACAGGCACCAGGATTATCTTTTTTGTTGCCTCAGCAATACTCAGATTATCCCAGGTAATGAATATCATAGATTCGCAATCACCACATAACTTTGTTCTTTCTTAGACTTCCTGTATAATTGCACAAATCAACAGTTTTACCCTTGCAGCGAGCTGGCGAATTTCATTATAGTTATACAATTCAGAATGTCCTTCCCTATTTGATTGGATGATTGTTAGATTATTAGTATATTTGGCACAATTCTCACGACTCATCAAAATGATCCCCACTGCATTAAAGTTGGACAATGAGCCTACCATATGAAGAGTGTGTTTGATGGATATTATTGAGAAATGAATGTGTTTTAAATAGTGATACGATGGGAAATATGTGGTTAAAAAGTAAGGAAAAGTTATTGATACGATGAAAAATATTATTTTATTGAAAAATGTGTGGTTGAAAATGAGTATTGAAAGAATGTATTTTGATAAAATGTGTGTCAAACAGAGGCTTAATTACCTATACCTTTACAAACTTGTGCATATATAGNATGTGTTTTAAATAGTGATATGATGGACCTATAAAAAAAAATAGTGATATGATGGGAAATATGTGGTTAAAAAGTAAGGAAAAATTATTGATGTGATGGAAAATATTATTTTATTGAAAAATGTGTGGTTGAAAATGAGTTATGAAATAATGTATTTTGAAAGAATATGTGTCAAACAGGGGCGAAGTGTGTGAAACAAATAGGTATGAGGTATGTAATGATATTTTACCTGATTCCTCAGGCTTACAGGTAGAGGAATTGTTGAATTTTCTATTGAGAAAGGAGATGGCTCGACATTTTCTCCAGAAGCTGCTGGCGAGCCCAGAAGCACAGCAACAATCCAGGTATGCTGAATATGCCTTTTGAGTGCAGATTTACTTCCTGTCAGCGCTCTATCACTGGCTGCTCTGCACATTGTGTTGCCATTTGAGCTCATTACTGTTTCTCTCTACAATTAACTTAGTTACATTATGGACTATAAAATTGTCCTTTACGTGTTTTTTCCTGGCTGGGTTCTATCCAACTATTCCATTAAAGCACAATAATTGGATACTTCAAACAGACTTATGGATTTCTAAGCATGGTGCATATTTACCAACATTGTAATCATTTGTCCTCTCTCTCTCTCTCTCTCTCTCTCTCTCTCGTGCACATACATACATTTCTGATGCAGAGTCATTGAATCAGCACCGATCATCATATGGTTTTAGTATATTAAGCCCCTATTTGGTTTAGATAAAAAATAATTTTTTAGTAGATTTTGATAAAAATTGATGGAACGTGTGATTGAAAAGTTATGTAGCTCTTGAAATGTGGTTAAAATTATTTGTTGACTTTAACTTAGATTTTAATGAACTTTTGTAGTTGAACCAAACAGGGGTTAGATTTTTGAATTTTGATCTGAAACCTTTTTGATTTGTTATTTGCTAGATAAATTGGAGCAATCTAATATATGCCTGCAACTGTAAATATTCACTCAGATTTTAAGGTTAATTAGGCGTTCTTTCATGCTATATAAATAAGTAAAGTTTACTAAGAATCTACTTGTTTTTAGGTTGTTCTAGATGGCTATTCAGCGCCACTGACGGCAGGAAACTTTGCAAAACTGGTAAGGTAGTGAATCGTACTTCATCTTCATGAGTTTTTATTTTACTTTTATGCTTACACTATAGAATAATGCTATTACATCTTCTTCTTTTTCATTTTCTTATTTTACATCTGATCTTCATGTTGCATCCTCTTATAGAACACCCCCCCCCGGCCCCGCAAACCCTTTTTTTTTAATTTATACTTTCAATGATGTCTAGAATAAGATTTAATCACAAGCATCAAATAATTCAGCATTTTATATTATCAAAGTATATTTCCTTTTGTTTTACTTGTGTTTCTCTAATCTCATGATTTTCTACTATTTGGTGGTTTGAAATTTTTAATTGAGAATGTGCATTTTTTTCCTTCTTGCAGTGGTTTTGATGACAGAGATTTAGTTGATTCTGACTTGAGCAAAAAATGCATTCAACCCTGGATCCTGGACTTGTTTGGATTCCCAAACTAAAGAATTATGTATCATTCTGAAACATCATGAAAATTGATACAAGAAAATTCAATGAAAAGCTCCAGGCAGGCTAAGCACACTGCACTTGTTTAGGCATTTTTCATTTCATTGCACAGTGGTGCTGGTTCGAGTCCATTCCTTGACAAAGGCTAACTAACAATGGAACCATACACGTTGACATATTATGCTCATTCCCAAATTTATAGGATGATCCATGAGAAAGGTGGTAGGATTCCAACCTAGGGAAAGCAGAGGGGACAAGGGGCAAGGCAGAAAACTAATTCATAAAATTACACTGGAGTACTGGATGGATGGAACTGAAATTCGAACAAACATGGAGAAATAGTAATCGAGATAGACTTCTCTAGTTATTACTTAATGATCCGTCAAAGAGTAACAGCTGTAATGTTATACTTTAGAAATAAATAGATTTAAGTTTGATTTCTCGATACCTGGCCCTACTGAACTCTTATTGGCTTGAATAAACTAAATACACTGATTTCTTTTCTGCTCATAGAAGAAGGGTTTGTTTATTCTATTCGCGTATCCAGTTCTCAATAATTTTTCAACTATTGCGTAGGTGGTGGATGGAGCATACAATGGGGTGAAGCTCAACTGTGCCAACCAAGCAATTCTCTCTGACGGTGGGTTGGGAAAGGACATTGGCTATAGCATTCCCTTGGAAATAAAGCCTTCTGGGCAATTCGAGCCGCTGTACAAAACAATGTTAAGTGTGCAGGTCCTCACACTTTATTTTATTCATAAATGCCAAGTAGCCATCAACCAGCATTTCTTTTAATTGTAAGAGTGATATTAAAATTTCCGTGTGAAGGATGGGGAGCTGCCTGTACTTCCATTGTCTGTATATGGTGCAGTTGCCATGGCTCATAATGATGTCTCTGAGGAATACTCTTCGCCAAATCAGTTTTTCGTTTATCTATATGACAAGAGAAATGTGAGTGATATTGGACTTACACGTTTTCCATCTTATATACTTTTCCTCCATTAAAATTTGGTACATTCTTATTCTTCGTCCTTTTGTTATTCTCAGGCTGGCTTAGGGGGGCTGTCCTTTGACGAAGGTCAATTCTCAGTCTTCGGGTATGTCCCAATTTTGTTTCATATTACATTTACACCTGAGGCAAATAAGGTTTTTTCCTTGCAGTAAAGAAGAAACTTATATTCTGATGTACAGGTATACGACTGTGGGACGAGAAATTCTTTCTCAGATTAAAACTGGGGATGTGATTAGATCTGCAAAGCTAGTGGAAGGTCAAGATCGCCTCGTACTGCCAAAATAGAAGTTAAGTGCTTCACTTTAATTCTTTTCAAATGGCTGGTTGTAGCTGCAATAATTTTTTCTTTTTCATGTTATGCTCATTTGTTGTTGGTAATTCACCGGGACTCTCAGAATTGATTTGACTACAAACAGATGGGTTAGTTGCTTGGATATATATTGTCAATTGTACATTTATCTTTTCTAGTGACCTCCCCCTACTAGTATGTAGATGAAGTTTACAAGGTTAGCTCCCATGTTGGAATGTTTGTGTAACTGGCCATGGATCACTCTGTGGTGAAGCGGAATATAATAAATCACAAGATGAGAGATGGAAGCACCAAACTATCACTTGATTCTTATGATCAAGCAAGAAATAATCAAGCTAGAACATTGTAGGAATCTATAGAGGATATGTCGAAATATTCTGAACACTAGAGTAAGCTGTGATAACCCCCTTGAGGAATGTACACGTAAATACAAACATTAGCATCTTTTCGGTTTAAAATGTGAATAGATGAACCATACAACGAACAAATATATGTGAAGAGCTTCAATATAATTGAAATTGTAGTCATAGATGTAGGATTATTGCCTTCATTCAAATCAGATGCAGAAGCAATTGATTTTCCTATCCTCTCGTGCGCATAGATATAAATATACATGCCAACTGATGATGAGCTAATTGTGATCCATTAGAAGAGCAATCACAATTACAAAAGTCCGAGGAGGGCTCTGATGAATCTTGAAAGTCTTAAAATTTGCATCAAGGAATAAATTCAGTTCATATAAATTTTTTTTCCATCCTTGTCTTGCACATGGTGGCAATAGACACAATGCTTGTTTGTGTCCAGACAACTCAGATTGATAAGTTACGTTAGAAGCATAATACTCACATAACATCATTTGCAGTAAGATTTTTTTGAGCAATTTCCTCAATAGCTCCAGCGTTTCCTAGAATGTCAATAACGAAAATCGTGTTTCCACCGTAGGTCATACCAAAGCAAAATCTCGACCCTCCGATATCTTGGCATTGAGTTCTTCATCGTAAACAGGGGCACTGTCGTAACAATTAAATCAGTCCCAGACTGAAGATCTTCATTCGCATTGTCGAAATAGGTGTGCTACAAGGAGTTCGATTGTATCGTACAGTTGATAGAAACAGATAAGTTAGTGGTGGATCAGTCCCAGGTTGTACAATATGGGAAAACATATGAAATTATTTTGTTTGTCAAGTAGGATTTATGAGTTAAGGATGAAAGCTCGGAAAGAGTTGTCTTGTTCTTCCTGGTTACCACACTCTGACTTCTCAATTAAGTTATGCAGCTTCCAGAGTTCAAGTCATTCTCATAGTCAGGTCAACTGATGACTTTGATACAGCTAAAGGCAATGCGAACTCCAAAAAATTTCTTTGGGATGGATTTTTAGGAAAAGTAGGTGGAAAATCGTTATTACGAGATCCTCGATGATATTATTGTACCAATATATTAGGACGAATCTCCTCTTGTTCGGGGAGAATGATGCAGTCATAAGTCACGAGATTTATTTGTTTGTTTGTGTTCCTTTTTAATTAATTTAGAAAATTGTGTTGTCTTTTATCTTTGTTGACCTCCTATATCGAGAGTGAATGTTTTAACGCGCCAATTTTTCATATTGATACAAAATTTAACTCTCGTGAAAGCCCCAAACCTATTGTCGATTATTCAAATATTGTTTTATCTAATGGCGAAAATGTGAGGAACACAAAGCAACTGAAATTTCAATAAAGGGTGGCCAGCAAAGGTCAACGGCCAAACTTCCTTGATGGTGAGCAAGTCGGATCATACCAAGGATGAATCTATATCTCGAAAGTCATATTAATCTACTTGTATACACAAAATGTGCACCTTGGACAACTTTCTATGTAAAAAATTTAGCAGTTAATTGGAAAAAGTATTGTTAAGATCAATGTATTAAAATTTGTTGACTCACGTGGGTGTAAACCAACATGTCAACATTTATGTGCATGTAGTATAGTCCAAGATTAATTCTAATTGAACTCTGATTCAAGTAGAGTTTTGCTACATGTAAAACTAGTTTGACAATTCTTGAGGTGTACAAAATCATTGTACAAGTAGTTCAACTCATTCAAGTGAGGGGACAAAACTCTACGATCATGATTACAATCAAAATGTTTCTAATGATACTGGTGTCCGTCTGTTGTACATCTTCAGCCTTAGCCCCTGTTTAATTCCCATTTTGTTTAAACTTTTTTTCTGTAGAATAATTTTCAATCACACATTTATACAATAAAATATTCTGCACGTAAACCCAAAATATTTTTTCTACTTCTTAAACACACATTCTCCTAAAATACTATTCAAAACATGGGCGCCAAACATGGGCTTAATATCGAAAGTGGTGATCTTATCGAGACTGATAGTACAAGCATTAATATCAATCGATGCAACTGGATATAGTTTGTATTTCTACGTCAATTGATATTAGAATAATGTTAGCTAGCACCAACACTAGTTGAACACAAATTTAGATGACTACATTTGATATGTCCAATTAAATGAATCGTGTGACATTGTATATAAGTGAATCTATCATTTAATGTCATGCATTTACTACATAAAGATTAATATGTTTGACATGAATGATGTTGAATATCACTACTCTTGTGATTATCTTGGTTCTCTGGGGACATCCTACTGAGCTTTCAACTATGTACTTGAGAAGTTGGTTGGACTGATACATGGAAATAAGTCAAATAACTTTGCTTTGCGGGGCAGTTGTCCTTCACAACTATATTCCAAGATTTGATTTGGTACACAGTGGAATATGTGGACCATTTGAGATTATTGATAGGCAAGGAGATGAGAGTACCATAAATGACGTGCAATTACACAAGTGGTCTGTCAAGTTTGGATTGCATGGCTTGACAAGCAAATACTACATTTCAAATTCAAGTTGTCATACCAGGTGGAATTCACAGGTACTGACAAAACAGTATGGATTCTTACATGCCAAGTTATATTGCCGACATGATGGTGTTTATGAATTGGTGCTTTTTAAGGAATTTGGATGGAATCCTATACTCATGAATTCGAAGGTAAGGGTGTGTTTGAGCCACATTATTTTAGAAGAATGTATTTTGGAATAACAGATTGATGGAGAATGTGTGACTGAAAAAGAAGGAAAATTTATTGTTGTGATGAAAAAATTATTTTATTGAAGAATGTGTGGTTGAAAATGAGTAGAAGAATGAGAATGAAAATTTTAATGTGGATCAAGCAGGAGCTAAGAAGTTTTTGCGTACTTATTATATTTATAACTATGTGAAAAAAAAAAGTAAAACTAGATAATAAAAAAATTACTTTTTAGCAATACTTGACCCAAGATCATAAATAAACTATTAGATTCTCGTTATAACAATCATCAATCGCATAAAGGATTGCAAAATTATCCTTAAGCATGATGAAACTTTGAATCTAAATTCTTATCGACAGCAACTGCTTCAATTTGAATCTTGAATATTAACCTTCAATCTTCAAGCTTCCAATTCTCATATCTTCTTCAGTATTTTCCAAAAGTATGAAATATTAATGCAGTTTGTGAGCAAGCAATTCAAGAACAATTAAAGAATCCAAAGTTTTTGGAATAGAACAAGTAAACAAGAGATCAAATCTCTCTATTCTCTACACTGAGGAAACCCAGTATATTACCCTTCCGATGTCATCTAATTAGATCACGACTAATTGACCCTTTTGTTGTTCTAATTATTACGACAATTGCAAATTCCGAGTGTGAATATGTGTTCACTACTTCGATGCCTATCGGGTCCCAACATATCAATGTGACCACTATAATAAATTGATCTCATTAAATTGACGTATCACATAACTTTAAGTTCATAAATAGCGACTACTATTTCATAATGAATTTAGGTAATCCACAAGACAATGCGTATAATTAATTTCTTAGCACTGTTTAATATAAACAATCAAACTTGATCTAAGTCCAATACACTTTCAAGTGTATCAATGTCATTACTTCCAAAAGAACAATTGCGATGGTCAACACAATTGCGTATTTCAATTGGTAGAATAACCAATCATTCGATAGATATAATGTGCCAACCTCTATTAGCCGGTCTAGAATAGACCCTCTTCGATTGAAATATAAGTTATATATTATATGTGTTTTCCTAAGCAAGTACATAGCTCATATTATTACAATGCTGATGACCCTTAATGCTTACTCAAATATGCAATGAATAATTAAATAAAAATAAATAAACAATGTTTATCTAATAGACAAAATCAAAATTTCATAAATTATTAGGCACATATCCCATCAAAATTTCATAAATTATTAGGCACATAGCTATGTACCTAACATTATTAGGCACATATCCAAACACACCTATAGTACAAGAATATTGCTACTTGTACCAAGTAGCTTAACAAAATTAGTTGACAAAATGAGGTGTAGGGTTGGGATTTTATAAATGGACAGATGAGATTTAAAAGGTAAAACGATACTTTATATTTTTGTCTTTTTATTTGTATTTTGTCTATTATACCCATACTTGTATATTTTTATTGTTTCCGCTAATTAATCGGTATCAGAGTCTAGTAAAGAAACTGAAGAAATATTTTAGAACTTTGAAAATATATTCTATGATGAATAGGAAAGATACAATGATTTTAGAAGAATTACATAA